GAAATTTCGTGCAATTCAAAAAGAAAACATAACTTCACAATAGGATAGCGCTGACGCTAACTCGGAACGGCTGAAATCTAGAAATTTCTGAAGGAGAGAAAAGACATTGAAAATCAATGAGGCCATAAAGGCGTCCTACAATTGTAGGAACGACTGACAATATGGCCCTTAGTTTTTGTGAAGAAAGCAGTTTCTGAGAGCTTTTTTATATTTTTTTTATATTCCAACTACCACGAAGGCCTAACGCCTAAAGGCCCATGGGGTACCGTGGGGCTATAGGGAGATACAGGAGAAAGGGGAACGACACACGGACTCAGGCGAGGGCAGACGTGTGCAAGCAACATGCACACATTCTGGGCTTGCCTACGAGATCCGCCGGATGGTACCTCTGCGTTCGACAGTCAGTGACCGTCTACCACCTACGGACAATCACAACATCCATAGCCAAGAGAAAAATTTCTCTTGGGACGGGATTCTAACCCGCACAGCGCATGACGACTGATCAGGAGACCGAAGAGTCTACTACTGCGGCTACCGCTGCTGAATGAGTAGTACAGACATTTTTAGTTATTGCCCTTTTATTTAGTAGTGTTAGTTAAGCATAACATAATGCCTCGATTTCGAAGACGTCCAAGTTATCACCATGTTAGCGACTCTGACAAGGGTAGAATTATTGCCTATCGAGATGTTGGCTTGTCCTATCGCGAAATTGGCCGCCGTGTTAATTGTACTGCAATGACGGTAATGCGTGTGTATCGTGTGTGGATAGAAGAACTGGTCCACCAAGGCGTACCACATAGCGTCAAGATAGGCGCTTCAGATAGCTAGCCCTACGAAACCGTTTTGCTACTACGCGTCATATCACTGACCGAAGGTTTTGAGAAGAAGGTGGCCCTGTTTTCGTACCGTCCATGGTTAGTGCTTCCTCTGGCTGCGGACCACTGCAGTTAGCATTTGAATGGCAACATTGGGAGGCATAATGTCATCTTTATCGACGAATCGCGATTCTGTTTTGGTACGATGGTCGTAGAAGGGTAAGACGCCGACGTGAAGAACGGTGTGATATTGCATTTGCAGTTGAGAGGCAAATACTGAGTGTATGAATCTTTCATTCAATAGATTAACTAAGTGCCTATTACGCAATGATATGCATCAGACACGGAATGTCAAACCGACATAAGTGAGAAATACGAACTTGCGTGATGAAGATATATTTAAGCAACAGAAGAATTGTGAACTGAAGTTTGGATAATCTCGAGTTCAGTACTTGCATCATTCAGGTTTAGGTAGTTGTAGGTTTTGAAAATTGGTTCAGTGGCGGCGGAACTACGGACAAAAAATTAAAATCGCTGGAACATAGTGTTTCAACGTGACAGAGGTTCCCGCTCATTTTCAGATATTGTTTGGAAAAGTTGAATATTGTAGGTAGCAATGTTTATGCGGTCAACGGTTGTTAATTGATATTTGATGTCAGTGAAATACCTTCTATTATTAAGATCTCGGTAATGTTATGTACCTGTTAGACATTTTTCCCTACATTTGCCGCGGAAACAAATATGTTCATATAGTTTTAGATGTAGAGGTCGAAGATTCATTCTAACTAAGTGAACTTATCTAGTCACGATTCGAGTTCACCGTTTGAAACGATTTGACTCATCCCATTTCTTTGAGGCCTCCTAGAAAGGCACCATCAGTGAACAACAAAGTTGCAACTTAAAAGAAAAGGAAAGATTTTTAGATATTACCATTATATAAATTGCGATATTTTCAAGAGACTATTGTACCCAAAGTCAGGTAATTTTAAGTCGGGCATCCTCTGGTTTAAGTATGGCGGGACCGTTCTCTTGGCTTCTGTCAAAGGTTGTTCACAGTCGACCGGCCACAGACATCGGAGCCGGCTGTGGAATTGATTTATTGTTGATACAGCGCAAGATTCTCCGACATTGCGAGTCTCCAATGAGAAATGGTCAGTAATTAATTTCACGCCCTTCGTGGTGGCTGGCCTGATGCCGTACCGTACGGAGAATCGAGAAGCGAGATGGCATTTTGACATTGCAACAGCGTTGCCTTGCCATTGCATCCAACTTCTTTTCGGTTATTCATGAACGGACTGACGGTATGCGAAGCGTCTGGGTAACCAGGTTATGCCAAACACGCCTTAATATAACCTGATTGGCTGGATTTATTAAAGATGGATAGATAATTAATTTATTGGTCACACTATATAAATGATATGTATGAAAAGTCATTGGATGCAGGAACCATGGAGTAAAAGAAAGTCAAACATTTACAATAAAGAAACAAGTGCACGTGAGACATGAATCACAAGATAAATTAAAAGTTGTAATTCAAAAATACCCCAACGGAGCAAAAACATTGATCTAGGAGAATACACTTCATTTGTTTTTTTAATTGAATATAATACAGCTCACGGATGGTCTGAGCTAACTTATTGTAAAAATTTAACTTAATGAATTTTTGGCAGAATGTCTAGTCTATAATGTGGCAGTCTCAATGATCTAGCCTGTGTCATTATTGTGGATTTCTGATTGGATTATGTAGTAAGTAAATCAAGTTTTCATGAATATGCAGCAAAGTGTATGGTAGTATCCCCAACATTTGGAAGAGGGGTTTGCAGTTCTCATTGAACATAGCACCTGCTATAATCCACACTGCACGTTTTGGCATTCTCCAAATCATGAAGCCGTAGATCAGATGCGAATGAAGATGCCAAAATATGCGGCTTAAATGCCTTCTTTCTTAGAGATACGTTGTATCTAATTGTCGGAATGCGAATAAGTTTTTTACATAAAGAGTCTACATGAGCCTTCCATTTGGGAGACCCATCAATTTTTATGTTACGGAGAAAAACTGTTTGGTTTTCATTTAATCGATTTTCACCGACAGAATGGTTTGTTGTTTTTGTCTCTATTAAGTTTTAACAATTTGCAGCAAAGCTTCCTTGAATTTAGTATCTATAATAGTGTTTGCAATGAGTACATTTTTGTCTCTGGCGGATTTTATACGGACAACATAGAGGAATGCCCCGACAATATTAGATACAAACATAAAGCGAAATTTATCTGGTGCACAATTTCTAACAGTCTGTATCCCAACCTTTTGTGGGAAGAGTGAGGGGTGAAGCTTTGAATAGTCAAAGCTATATTGATAACTGCCTTCCATCATCATACTAATGTTCACATCAGTTTTGGCCAACCTAGCAGCATGCCAATCCTCAAGAAATACCCAAAACTGGCTTCGACCACACAACGTACACTTTGTTCCCAAAAACGGAAATGCCCCAAACTTGCCGCAGATTCACCCAATAGAGGATTTTTGGGCTTTACTGTCTAGGAAGGTTTATCATGGAAGCTGGGAAGCCCAAGATGAAGTACAATTAAGACGGAGAATTTACGAAAAGCTCAGAGAAATTGATCTGAATTCCGTCCAGCACCTCACATAATCCAATAGTATATTTGACCTACTTACTTTACCTCAAACGGTAGCTTCAAAACTTCGCTATTTTGGTCATACACATCTCTACACTTCGGCTTAATAGCCTCAGCTACTTCATTTTAGTTAACGGGTGTAAGAAGAAATGCGTGGCAAGGTTTCTGTGCACTATTCAAGAAACTCGACGCTTCATGTTGTAAATGGGGCATAGTATCCAAAATTTTAATAGCAGTAGTAGAAAAAAATTCCGTCAACATCCCTATTCTTTGTCTGTTTATTTCTTTCAAAACTGACAATTTTCTATTGGACCGTTTATTTCGAAGATGAATTTATAATGAGGTTTAATAGTTTTCGTGATCCATAAAGGGCACATGGAACCATGAAAATTGGTTAGGCTTTCTGGCAGACTTCACTGACTGTTACGGTTAGAATGCGATCAAGTATCTGGGTATGTGGCTCGGCAGAGATCTGAAAATGATTAAATATATAAGGCTTATGACTGGTAAGGTAAATAAAGTCGTTACATCCCTGATACAGCTTACGCACAGCCACCTACAAACTCGATTAAGATGTACTGAGCTCCTCCCTACAATATGGCCTTGGGAAAAATGAAATATAGACAGCAAATGTTCAGAATCTAGCGAATGATGGTTGATGTGCATGGTATGCGCTTACGGAACAGTATTAATAGATGCCTTGCTAGTGGTGGCTGGTATTCCGCCGAATGATTTGCTGGCTGAGGGGAGATGTGAACTCTGTAGAAAGAGCGCCGAAGTTAAAGGCGTTGAAAGAGATGCGCATTTTGTTAGATGGCAGGAGAGATATGTCGCAACTGGCAATGGTGCATGGAACAGAAGGATGATTCCAGATACTAAAACCCGGATTGAGCGGCGCGGGAACCTTACTATACTGCAGAGTTCATCAAAGGACATGGTTGTTTAAATAGATATCTGAAGATGGTAGGAAAGAGAGAGTACGCAAACTGCGTACATTGCAATGAAGATGAGGACACGCCTAGTGATCTACTTGAACATGGTAGAGACAGCTGTAAGGGACGCTGGGCGAGAGACTCACTGCTGGACAAGGCACGTAAGCGAGCGCAAATGGGTTAGCATTTAACCAATACTGAGGAGGATGATGCTGAACGAGGACAGGATAATAAAAATAGACCAGGAAACCAACAATAGCAGTCTACTTGCTGTGTTGTACATACATATACATACCTGTAGGTATGACAGTGGCTGTAAAAGCTTTCTCCCACTACTCCTGAGTATGATACTTGTTCTCGGACATCGAACAAAAGCACAGCAACTTTATATTACTCAAACTGTGAATAAGATAGCGCGGAACGCCACTGGAATCGACTATGTCGCAAGTTGACTCAAGTCATCATACTACCCCGCCAGCAAGTGTGGGCAGCGAAAATCCTCGATTTGTGAACAAGGCTTGCAAATGTTATCGATCGCATCAAGAGCGATAATGCAATAATAGTTATTGGTTTCCAATTGTTTAAACCTGGTATGTGTTTTGTTTTTTTAAGTTTCAAGGAAACAGCAGGTCATAAATAAGATCTTGGGACCCTTTCGGGACGTTGATAGGGCGAGGATACTTGACAGGCACTCGGCGTCCAGCGAAAAGGCGGTACGGATGGTTTGACCCGTCGCGACGGGGCTTCATAATTAGTACAGTTCCTGATAATTTTATTAATTCACGTATTTTAACGGTTGATAACACAGATTTTTAAATCCAGCACTCTGAATCATTTATCATCATGATATTCTTCGTTTACTATGTAACTTGTTGCCGCCTATGCGGAGCGCCGTGGCGCACCATAGATGGCATCTCGGTAGCGAGTCACGTAAAGGTGTAAATACAATTAATACCCCCTTTAAGTTGCCACTCTGACTTTTATAAGATTCTTAATTAAATATTTGCGCTCGTTTACGTGCAGAAAATAGAAAACTCGTGTTCGCGAACATCGTTCCTCGCTATGTATACGATCGTAGATCGACGATAGCTGAGTTTGTACTTTTATGAGTGGGACAAGTAAAGAAATAGATTTTGTAGGCGATCGATACGATATCTAAAGTTATGGTAACGTTTTCCTTTCCCACGTATAAACGATGCGATGTATTGATCCAGGTGTGTATTGTGGATTTCGTTCGTGCTTTCAAATTCCAAACCTAGACCATGCTGATGAGTTACCAAAAAGCATAAAACAGCTGTCAATGGTTGGCTGTCTTTACTGTGCGATGTCTCTTAGTGTTATCACATAATTTTTGTGGAAAGTTGAGTACTAAAAAATTATTTTGTAATTAACCAGGACAGCTGAAGGTCTGCAATGTACCCAATGTTCCTTAGGCGAACAAAAAGATTGCCGTTAGAAAATCGAAACCTCTGCACAGCCTATATCATACTTGTTAGACTTTAAAGTTGTATTTGTAGTTCCTATATGGTTTGAGATATATCTGCAGTTTTGGTGACAAGATAGTGCATTTGGCAGGTCATGATTGCTTGTATGCTGTTCGGTAGGCCAAATTGCCAATTCCATTTTTAAATGGTCATGCTTTACATGGGAAATTGAATGTTCTCCTTGATTGAATATGTCAGAAACGGAACAGCATGTTTAACGCCAAATCAATTCAAACCACGAGTATGAGTAAGATACTATTTTTTTGAATATCAGTAGATTGAGTACTAAACTTTAGCCATTGATTTTCTACTTATAGACGAATATCCAGAACTGGTATACACAGTCATATTTAACCAACATGCTATAAAGGTCCTGCAGAAGCATTGTGGGGAATGGCTTTCGACTATATTTTCTTTTAAATTTTGTACAGAATGCGCGACATTCAGTCGGTTGGTGTCGTAGCGGAGCGCTGGTAGTCTCGTTCCGACACAGTTCAGTCACCATCATCTGCCTTTCGGAATGGCTTTGATTTAGCCCCGTTAGCTCCTCTTCCGGACCGGAAATCAATTGTTACGTGGATCACTACGTTTAGACAAACAAGTGCACCAAGACGAAGAACTGGAATCTCTAGATCTATTAGATCACCTGAAAACATTAAGGCAGTGAGAGCTTCAATGGTGCAATCACAACGGTGTTCTGCGTGCAAACATGCTTGGGCTTTCCGTGTGACGAGAATTCTTCATGATGATCTTCAATTCCATCCTTACAAGATCGCATTCGAGCAAAACTTTCTAAACGTGACTCGAATTCTCGAATAAAAGCATGTAAGAGTCTTCTTGAAGTCGTTTTTGAGATCGCTATTGTTTTTATTAGTGATGAATTTCATTTCTATTGGAAACCCTATACCTCCGAAACTACTCGTGGAAAAACTTTTGGCACTTGGACACTTTTGTTGTACGAGTTGAGATCTATGAAATACTAAATAAAAAATTGCCGAAAGCCATTCCCCATGTGGTTTTTCAGAGGTATTTCTTGTACCAAGTTAATTCCATGTCAACGTACTTCGTTTTTCGAATTCTTTGATAATCCTAGTTTCAAGTGCGTTCATACAATATTTCACTTTAGAAATGATTTCGAAACTTGAAACTCTTCACATTCTTATTCCAATCGATATGAAACAGGTTATTGATTTTGACATCTGTAAATGTGTAGTATTATCACGATCCCATCAAAAATAAGCTCAAAAAGTAAAAAAAGAATCTCGGCAGGGTCTCACAATGCATTTATTCTTCCTAACCGCTGACATTACGACGTTCCCTTTTTTGTCGGACAGCAGAGATCGCGTGTCTTTTTCAGCAGTGGTTCACGAAAATCTACAATCTGCCTTGGGCCATTAGGCGGATTTAAAGGATCGGAAGCCGAACGGATACGACTCAAGCTTACCCTGTTTTTCTATTCAGACCTCATAGTCCGGGACCAGGTGGGGAAAAGAATTATTAGTGTACATTTTTGGTCAAACCTCGCTTACACTTCCCACGCATACTGACGGGGAAGTATTGTAATCGCGAGAATTTTCGGATATTATGTTTTCCGTCGGTATGTATGTCTGGCTGTCGGTCTGTCAGCTAATCTTATAATCACCTATAACTGAAAAAAAACTAAATTTTTACCCAATGATGCTACTATTTCAAGGACGCAAAAACTGTAGCTTTCGAAAATCATCCAGTAGCGGCAGAGGAAAAAGGCTTAAAACGTAAAAATCCCCTCCCAGTCGGCATGTCCGTAATGCCAAGTTTTGCGGCCTGTGCGAGTTTCTGCGGCCACAGAGACTTCTTCTCTAGCTTTCCTTGGAGAGATGTCTGTTTCACTGACGCGGATGCGTCGACTATCTGTTCTTCAATAACCGAAATTATCCACGTCGGAATGGAGGAATACATCCCTCACACAGTGAAAGTTCCTAAACCAGGGTCCAACGGCTGGTTCAACAAATCGTGTGACACTGCTCGCCAGCAGAAGATCAAGGCCCACAGAACCTACTTACAAAACCCCACTGTAGAGAACAGACAAGCCGACGTCGAGTCCAGAAACAAATATAACGAAGCGGTTCGCAATGCCAAAACCCAGCATGATATAAAAGTTAGGCACAGGGTAATGTCGCAGCGCAATGGCAGTCGGTCTTTCTGGACGCTGGCCAAGCAGATTGAAAAGAACTTCTCACACAGTAGCCTTCCACCACTTACGTGTCAGGATGGAACTGTTGTATTCGACTCAAAGGCCAAGGCGGAAGTGCTAGCCAAGATCTTTGCTGCCAACTCCACCATGGACGTCCCCACCAACGCCCAAGTGCCGTCAACTCAAAGGGTTCCCCACACTATGCGGGAGGTAACATTCAGGCATAAGACCGTAAGACGAGTGCTCTTGTCGCTCGACATCAACAAAGCTTCTGGTCCGGACTTGATTCCTGCCATTGTACTGAAGAGATGTGCAGCTGAGCTTGCTCCAGTTCTTTCGCGTCTCTTCCAGATATCTTATGAATCCGGCACCTTCCCAGAAAACTGGAAATTTGCTCATGTACAGCCCATCCCAAAAAAAGGATCTAAAACCGACCCTTACAACTACAGGCCTATAGCTCTGCTTTCTGTTATAAGTAAAGTGATGGAGAGGTGCATAAATCGCGAGCTTCTGGACTACCTCGAACGTCACAGCTTGATTAGCGACAGGCAGTATGGTTTCCGGCATCAACGATCCACAGGGGACCTCCTAGCTTACGTCACGCAACTGTGGAGTAAACTCATCCAGTCTCATGGTGAGGCTCATGTCGTTGCTCTTGACATCACGAAAGCGTTCGATCAGCTGTGGCACGCTGCCCTCTTGAGCAAACTTCCATCCTACGGCCTCCCAGAAAAGCTTTGCAGATGGGTAGCTGACTTTATCTCTGGCCGCAAGATATCCGTCGTAATCGACGGATTCTCCTCTTCATCCCACAACGTCAACGCGGGTGTTCCCCAGGGATCGGTCTTGGCTCCAACACTGTTTCTATTACATATCAACGACCTCCTTTCCTGCACGATCAACCCAATCCACAGCTTCGCTGATGACAGCACTCTACATGCAGGAATTCAAAGTGACAAGCCGATCTCTGCCGCTGAGCTGGAAAAAAGAAGACTAGCGACGACTTCTTCTCTGACAAGAGACCTGGAGGCTATCACTGCTTGGGGACGCAACAATCTTGTACAGTTCAATGCTTCCAAAACACAGTACTGTACTTTGACGAACAAAAAGCGTCCTAGCGCTCATACAGTTTCGATGGACGGTCGAGTCCTACCAAAGAGCCATTCATTTCGGCTGGTCGGAGTCCAGATCACCGAGGACCTGATCTGGCACGAACACATCTCTTCAATAGCTGCAGCTGCTGGGAAAAAGCTAGGCTATTTGTTTAGGGCTAAGAAGTACTTTTCTCCGCATGACCTTCTCACTCTATACAAGGCCCAGATAAGGCCTAGCCTCGAGTATTGTTCACACATTTGGGGTGCTGCCGCCCCGACTACATTGTCCATGCTCGATGCTGTCCAGAGGAGGGCGGTCCGACTGATCGATGACTCTTCTCTAACAGACAGTCTCGGGACTCTTTCGCACCGGCGGGCCGTCGGCGATCTAGCTCTTTTCTATCGCTACACCAACGGGCTTTGCTCCTCAGAGCTCTCTTCCATGATGCCGCCGCGCGATGTGCCTGCCAGACAGACCCGCCTGACTTCGGCGTCCCATCCTAACCGCGTCAAACTTCGTACATCCAGAACTAACCGATACGACCGCTCCTTTGTCCCGAGGGTGTCTAGATTGTGGAACAATCTACGGGAGGAAGCTTTTCGCAGTTCTGCTAACCTTGGGCAGTTCAAAAATCGTATTAACAAAATTTCTTTGGGATCATCATAGCAGCCGCGGTGTTCCGGCATTTAGACTTCTGCCTGCGCGGCTGTTTCGATATAAAAAAAAAAAAAAAAAAAATCGGTCAAACTTCGTTTTTTGACATTTCAGAGGACAATGATCAGTTTTGAAAAAAATTTAGAGGTAGGAAAACTTGAGGGTGAAGGTTGTATGGGGTTGGGGATGGACACACATCACATATTTCTCTTTACATTATCCCTGAAAACCTGACAAATATTCTCGAGGGACGGATCGCGTACATATCGGCCGCGGCTGCCGCTGGCGTCACGTCGTGCTCCGACCG